CATTCACGCAGCTGAAACACACAAATATTTAAATATTGTCAGAATTATGAAAACCGACATTTTTCAGGCCAACCAGACTATTAACTCTCATTCATATCAGAAGGGAAATTTTATTGCATCTTGTAAGCCTCTCTCATTTCATTTTTTCTTTCCTTTTTTTTTAAGCATAGCCTGGCCTCTTAATTAATATCTGATAAAAAAAAATTCTGTGGCATCCTAAAAGAACACTTTTAGTAAGGGTTTTCACTGTTTTTACACAAAGACATTATAAGTACAATTTTAGAGAAGGAGAATTTTTATTTAGGCCCATGGTTTTATAGGTTCAGTTCAAATTTTGATTTGGGCTCATGGTTGGCCAACTCCATGGCTCTGGCCCAGTGGATGGCAGAACAAAATGGCAGAAGGGCCTGGAGGAATATAGCCACTTAGGACCCAGCACCAGGAAGCAGAGAGAGCTTCTATCAGGTACAGGATAGAAACCCCACAGCACAGCCCAGGGACCCACCTCCTCCAGCCACACCCGACCTGCCCAGCCACCACCCAGTTAGTCCATTCAAGTGGATTAATCCACTGATTAGATCACACCACTCATACCCAATAATTTCACCTCTGAACATCATTCCATTGTCTCACGTGAGCTTTTGGGGTCCTTTCATATCTAAACAAGAACACACTCACATCTGTGTGATGTTGCAGCCCATCCCTTCCTCTGTACTCATGATACGTTCCACAGTTGCACAATCATCCTTAACTAAAATGGTCTTCTGTCTTCTGTAGACCCAATGGTGAATATTGCATCAGAGTAGATATTTCTGTAGATATTTCTGTGCATTGAAATTCTCATAAACTTATCCAAAGACGCACGTTTGTGCATATACGGTCAAATTTATTAATCAATTTGGAATACAGAAATAGCAAGAAAAATATAAAAGAGAACTGACAAGAAATTCCTTAGACAGAGTTTAGCCCTTTACAGAAAATTAGAAATTACCATTTCAATAAAAGGGGGGCATACTTTTATCTTCATAGAGATTATTCCTGAGACTTTGAGAAGATGATGTTGCAAACATTCCTGATCTCATTAGTATCTGTAGCAATCAAAAGAAAAAGAAATTAAAATATTGCCAACCTGATCTTATTGGCATGATATTGGTAAGTCTTTGAGCGCAAAGGAAAAATCCAATCCTGGGTAGTGGAGTGTAACTCTTTTAATGGAACTTATATTTTCATGCATGAGTTTCATAGGGGTCATTTTCATAGGAAAGCCTATACTTTCAAGTCCACTCCTTGATTTGAGGGATCCTAAGGTGCATGTGCATGTGTGCAACACATGAATTTTGTGTGTGTGTGTGTGTGTGTGTGTGTGTGTGTGCCAGGAGCAATGGTGCATGCCTCTAATTCCAGGATTCAGAAACTGTGTCAAGAGCAGGAAGATCTCAAGTTCAAGGCCAGCTTCTAAATCTCAGAGGCCATGTGAAAATAAAGAATGAGACGCGGTGGA